ATGCGATTCAAGGTGATTGAATCAGCGCTTAGGCTAAATAAATTGGAATATTACATTGTTTTATCAATTTTAAAGAATTTGCTTTCAAAGCTTTTACTTGATATCCTAGACGATGATTTAAAAGAAAAATTTTCCACTAATCGGATTACTTGTAAGTCATACCTGTTTTAGTTTTTATTTAGTTTTGTTAACTTCACGGATATTTGCACATCTCAGGTTCTTATATACGGACAAAAACCTGCATCCGTTTTAAGAACATAAATAAAAAAAACATTAATTTTACATTTGTTCATACGAGTACCAACCACAATTATATAAGAAGTTGCCCATCAAAAATCGCGAACTTAGAATGCCTTCTTGAAACTAATAACTAAACATGGTTATACTCGTAGTATCAAGAAGGACAATTTTAAGTTTTCGTATTAAATGTGTTCGCGGCTTGACGCTAATAACCCATAAAAATGGGCCCAAATATGACGATGGTAACTGAAGGAATTATTTTCCGAGCATTTATACGGAGTGGTATTTAAAAATATAAAAAAAAACTTTTCTACTTCCAAGATAATATAATCTACATCAAATCATTCACATGCAAAGTTGGTACAAAAATAGTCATAGTTATGTTCTATCTCTGTCAAACCACCTGTTAGTAGAACTTTTTGGTGTCTTACCAAAGCGATCGAGACAAACTTCTGTCCAGTGTAGACCACACTGTCTCCGCTCATTGGCGCGTGCTCCTAAGGAGCAAACGAATTTATTTGCTTCCCTTTTTGCTTGCAATTCGCGTCTAGACAGTAGCAACATCTCAATTGCCTCACTGCGGTTCCTCTATGTCAGAGGTCCGTATCACCAACAAGGAGGTTCTTGAAACCTTGCGAAGTCTAGGTGTGAACAAAGCTAGTGGACCTGTTGGTATAGCGGCTATAGTTCTAAAGGTCTGTGTCCTTGAGTTGTCTCCTGTGTTGATGCGCTTGTTCCGCCTCTCATTCAGGACTGGAATTGTGCCCAAATCTTGGAAGCTGGCCATAGTGCAACCTGTGACTAAAAAAGGTAGCCATGCCGACCGATTTCAATGACCTCCTTACAAGATTATGGAGCGTGTATTGAACGCCCGCTTAATAGCATACCTAGCACCGTAGTGACCGGCAATACGGATTTCACCGAAATCGATTATCTGGATATCTTCTAGCGTATGCCACACACGTACGGGGCGAGGCACTTGAGAACAGTGGGGAAGCACTTGCTGTTTCCCTTGATGTCTCGAAAGCCTTTGACAGAGTTAGGCACGCTAGCCTTTTGGGTAATCTTCCAGCGTACGGCTTATCCCCTGGTCTGATTGAATGGGTAAAGGACTTTCTGAGTGAAAAGTCTCTCCGGGTCGTCGTCGATTGCTGCTCATTCGATCCTGTGGCCACTGACGCCGGTGTTCCTCAAGGGTTCATTCTCTTTCCTACTCAACCTTCTTCCTGCTGCATATCAATGATCTGCTTATGCCCGGTATCTGTAGGTATGAAGACGATAGCACAGTTGTGGAGAGATACCAACCAAGTACTCGGGCCATTCGGGATCAAATTCAGTCCGAAAGAGAGGCTATGATAGAGCGTGTGAATCTCACACTACAGGCAGTCTCCAAATGGAGCGTTGCCAATCTCGTGAGCGCCGCGCTCTTCAGCGCCTCCAAAACACAAGCGTGTCTTTTCACCGCAAAAAGGAGCCCGCTCACACTGGCACCTACTATGTACCCTTGGAGTACAGTGATCGCCTTCAGTTGTTAGGGGTTGAATTTTCTCCAAACCTCAACTATGGGTGTTCCTGCAAGGATGCGGCGGTACTTCACGTCGGGACAGCTATTTAACTTATATAAACTGCAAGTGTGGTCGTGCATGGAGTACAGCTGTTACATATAGGCTGGTGCTGCAAAACGCCACCTGGCAGCGTTGGACTCAGTGCGAAGACGTGCTAAGAGTCTCATTGGTGACCTTGCCTTACTTGAAATCAACCTTGTCAGCCTCGAGCACCGCCGTAGAGTATCCAGCCTCTCGGTATTCTATAGGATGCATTTCGGAGAGTGTGCGCAGGAATAGGGTATTTTTCGCCATGTAAAACAAAATCAAAAAATATATTTTTATGATAGATTTTGTAAAAAGTAAATGAGAGGCATTGATTTCTGTTTATAAAATTGCATTATTAATTTTATATTTCAATTTTAAGAACATTATTTCTCGTCTGTGCCTCAAAACTACAAACGCTGTCCGCCATATTAGATCATGTGATGTCACTGATCCGGCCTATGGGTGTTAATGTTGTTGTAATAATGTCACTGATTAAGAGAAATGTGCGTGCGTGCGTGCTTGCGTGCGTGCGTGCGTGCGTGCGTGCGTGCGTGCCTGCGTGTGTGAGTGCGTGCGTGCGTCGTAGTTCGCCATCTTGGGCGGTTCGCCATAATGGATTTAAAAATATGCCATTTTATTTTTCGTATTTTTCTCAGCAAACCAATTTAATCTTTTTGCAGCAAACCCTATAATTTAGTACCCATATGATAGGAGTGCATAAAAAATAACTAGTCCGCCATCTTGAGTTGGCTACAATATTGGATATTCCTGTTTTCTGTATTATTATTATTTCCGGATTTAGAATACAAAAAATCGTATCTAAATCGTTTAAACTATTTTGGAGATACATGTAAACATTTTTTTTGCATAAAATTGTTCATTGAAGCGTCCACTGACGAGTTAATATCATAACTCCTCCACCATACACCAACAATCACCAACCATCGTCGATGAGTCTTATACTCTGTACAGAAAATCATATCTAAATCGGTATAAGCGATCTGGAGATAAATGGGAACATTTATTTGTACAAAAATATTTATTGCAGCGCCCCATCGCGAGAGTACATCATATCACCTATCTGAAAACTATCATAAATGAGACTGTATTTGAATCAGTATAACCGTTTTGGAGATAAATGAGAACATTCGTTTGCACAAAAATGTTTATTGCAGCGCTCCCTGGCGAGTTAACATCATAATAGACACACAGAAAACCGTATCAAAAATCGGTCTACCCACTTTGGAGATAAATGGGAATATTCGTTTGCTCACACAAATAAACAAATAACCTCTCACCTAACCCTACGCATATACCTTCTCCGTTTCGCCGTGGGTAAAAATGGAGCTACTATATATTCTTTTATGTTTTCACCATTCCGCATTAAAACATTACAAGTGTATTTAAAATTAACAATAAAAAGTCTTCCTAATTGTCATTAAAATTACTTTGCTATACGAAACAACATTTTTTTTGTTACTGAGAATGTATTTACGCAGATTCAAAGTTGAGGAGGAAAATCGTTTTGATATTATATAAGGCTTCTCATTCTTAATTTTTCATCAGTTCAAGACAAGTATTTCGCTCATATAGGTAAGCAGTGATTATTTTATCATCTCATAAGTGTAACTTTATTTATTATATCTTAGTCAAGCAAACGATTCGAAATATACCTCGTCATTCCACCAACTTGACAGTTGGTGTAATGACGAGGTAATGCTAAAGCCATACAATGCCACCGTCCTCTTTTATTGGTTATACCGATGGATGTCATAAAAGTCGACTAAGAGAAATGTGGGTTATTACACCATCGTACAGACTGCGACGTCGCTATTTTAAAAATGACGAAACTACAATATGAAGAACAGCAATTCCAATAGCCGTCCAGTTGTTATTTCGTCAAATTGAGCAATAATCCCTCTCTCGGGCTTGTCAAAGGCTCAGACCACAAAAGAAGGATAGACGGAGCGCAGCGTATTATTCAAGTAACGTTCATCTGTCTTCTTTCTTTCTTTAACAGCCCGTCCAATGCATATGCACTTTAAACCATGGTGTTGGTTGCAAATGATTTAAGATATATGCATCTGTATGTGTGTACGAAAGTGGGTGTTCATATAATAATTTGAGCATGGTTTGGTTATGTTTTGGCTTCACTTTTTTACATTTTCTATGGTTCGAAATCAGTGTTGTACAGTGTCAGTGTGTTTTTATGGCCTTCTAGGGTTGATGATTGCAAAGATCGTGGGAGGTGGAAGGAGGAGGCTCTGTTACTAATTTAAACTTTTTAGTTCTTTGAAGTCAATTGTTGCTTTCTATTAAAAACAAATTTAGCTCATTTTTTTCTGATGTATGCGTTGCATCCTCTTGGCTGAAATAATTCAGTCGGTGAAGTTTAAATATCCTTGCATCTTAGCTTAATCACTGCATCGCATAAACGTTGTTATAATTAATTGATAAAAATCAGGCGTTACTTTGCGGAAATCCATTATTATAAAGATATTAATTAATTGGCAAACTTCCTCCAACTAAATACAATGATGTGTCTTACCTGGATTGAAGAGCACCTCCTACCCTCCCTCAATTGCGTGCACCAATCCCGTCACCACTAATCCCAGCACCACTACTCCCGACACCACTACTCCCGGCACCACTACTACCAGCAGCACCAATATTCCAGGAAAGAGAGATATATTCCAGATAGAGGGAGGGCGGGAGGTGCTCTTCAATCTAGGTAAGACATATCATTGTGTTTAGTTTGCAGAAGGTTGCAAATTAATTAATATCTTTATTGTTGTTATAATTAATTGCGTTGGTTAAATTATGCAGAAGAACATTTTCATCATAACTAATTTCTCTATATTACGATTTTGGCGAGTTTGATTTTTCAAACTAACTTTTACGATAGTCACGTTAGCTAAACATTTCATTGGGTTACGGGAATTAAGGAACAAGTTGTTTTTGTGTATGCACAAGCACGTACGACCTTTAGAGAACTCATATGTATTAATCGCGTTACTCATATCTTTTCTTTAAATAGAAAAGGGCTTAAATGTATTTTAATAGTCTTATTTTAGTTTATATAGTGTTAGTTATGGGGAATCTAATGAATTTTAGCGCGTCAGAATTTCATTCTCTACTAGACACCAATATCTTTTTTACGATTTTCAGACATGAAGACTGCAATTCTTTTATCCGTTTTTGTAGCAGTAGTTGTGGCAAGACCCGAAGAAGAGTTGTACAGCAAATATGAGAACTTTGACGTTAAAGAACTTATATCCAACCAACGACTGCTTAAAGCATATGCGCATTGCTTCGTAGGGAAAGGGAAATGTACACCAGAAGGAAATGATTTTAAAAGTAAGTTTAATTTAAATAAATTTGTTTTTATTTAAGAAGTAGCGGCCCGCCCGGCCTGGATAGGGCCTAATAATGTCGTAATATCATTTACATTTAAGATAATCAAAGAAAATTTATTTTATTTTAAAAAAAGTATCAAAGTTTTACTGTTTTCTTGGCATTGCTCTCTATCTGTTTATAAAGGTTAAGGACCATTAGTTTAACCTTCCGAAGATTAACCCGGACAGACAAACGATAGAAAGACAGATTTTTTATTAAAATAGTTATTTATATCTTGATAGTGTGCAAATAGAAATATGAAGCTAGTTATTTCAATATTACAGATATATTTTTCATAGCATTGAGTGACATACGAGCACACAATACCCCTGATGGAATGTGGATGTTATGGCTCATAGACATCCACATTTATCCTCAAGTAAGGATCAAAATGTAAATGCGTATTCACCTCTGAGGACTAAGATGGAATGTCTCGATTGCAATAAAAAGTTCAATTCTCTACACCACCATACGAAACATAGCAGAATTACGCTGCTATTTTACGGTGGTATTCTGTGAAAGCGTTTTCCTGCTCAGGTCGAGCCGACCTATTCGTGCTACAACTATAATATAGCTGCAGCGTAGCTCTACCACGTAAAAAACAAAATTTCAAAGCAGCATAATGTTTGTGCATCTTGTCTGGTGTGTGGCGAAACCGAAAAACTCCATTTTAACTCTTAGGTTTATTTTTATAATAAATATATATCCAGGTTTTTTCTGGATTCAAATTGGATATATTGATACCATAATGACTACCTAAAACATAACAAGTAACTTCCGTCTAGGGCGTCTCATGTTGGCTCTGGCAATCATTTATAAACATAAATTTGTTTTGTCACTCTTTCTACACGAGAAAAACTTTTTCATATAAATCTAAAAGTAAGTATATTTAAAAGTACCGTATTACCGTCCCACTAAGGGACGTATAAAGACGGTACTTTTAATGACTCAGTAGACTGAGAGAGATCCTGTACCAGCAGTGTGACTTCCACTGCTGGTACAGGCCTCTCTGTTTTTAAAAGGGTTATGGAGCGATAAATCCGCCACGCTGCTCTCGACTTCAAATGTCTTCGTAAGTCTATTTTTTATTAAGCAAGTAAATTATATACTTTTGAGCAGAAACCTTTTCCAACTTGTTTGCTGTGATCACTAAGCTCAACATACTGGAGGCATTGTTAGAAATTATCGGCTAAACATTCTATAAACTTTATATAAATTTTAATTATATGCAAAACAAAGAGGATTGCAGTCGTCATATATAAAAGATATTTTAATTAAAATAATTTATGTATTTAAATAATCCAAAATTAACATATCATGATGAGTATTTACTAAACTGAGATTTCCACTAATAATGTGTTGACTTTTAGAATTGATGCCAGAGGCGGTACAAACCGAATGCGGTAAATGTTCAGAAAAACAAAAGTCGCTAGTTGCTCAAGTAATTAAAGCCATTGTAGAGCAACTGCCTGTTGAATGGGAAGAATTGTCTAAAGAATACAACCCTAATGGAGTTCACACGGTGTCACTCAATCAGTTCCTGGAAAAATACGCAAGCAATTGATTAAAAAAAAAGTAACGATCACCATATTTAAGTAAAATTTATACAATTTCTTCTGACATAATATGTTTTATGTAAAATGTAATTTATTTTTAAATAAAAATTTTATTTAGTAAAATGTAATTTAATTTTGATGAAACTAAATAATGGAATTATCATATAGCTACGGTGTAAGAATATCTACTACCCCATATCAACCCGTGGGTACCATGAGAGGCGACGGAGGTAAACTGAATCAGGAGATGGGCAGCAGCATCTACCGGATAGCAACTCAGAATTACAAGAATCTATGGTTGCCAACTTTCCTGCCAAGCATTATGCAAGCATATGGCAAAATCTCCTTTTTATATTTGTATATAAGAAGAGGTAAACGAGCGGGCTAACTTGATGCTAAGTGACTTCCGCCAAGCTATACATCTGCATCACTAGGGAATTACGAGTACAAATGCGTTGCCGGCCTTTAAAAAAAGAGTAGGCTCTTTTCTTGAAGGTTTCTAAGCCGTATTGGTCGGGAAAATTTGCTGGCGGTAGCCGATTCCACAAAGTAATTATGCAAGGAACAAAACTTCTGGTAAATTACACAGTGGTGGACAAATCATTCAGATGCAACGGGTGATACCGCCAGTCTTCAGCGGTGGACATTTACATGCTATGACAGATCGATGGAACGGAAGAGTGGACTTTAATTTGTTTCCTTTATTAATCAACTTATTGATAACAATTTGAATAAAACTATATATACGGATTCTATCGCGTTTAATTTACTTACTTTAATTGATTTTTAATTCCTGACGTTCCGAGTGTTTTACAGCACCCATGGTTATGGGGAGGGGGGGGGACTGATGTTTGACGTCCCAATGTCATAGTTAGCCCGGCTACCTTCAGTTTTTTAATATTAATTTTTGGCCCGATCTACGCAGAACCAGCTTACAGTATCTTGAAGTCTTGCAATGGTATGCTTGGGTTTGGGTTTAATTTTGTTAATTATAGGATCCCAAGCAGATGGTAGCAACCATCCATCTGCTCTATTAAAATTAGGATGTTTTTTAATTTCAATAGCCTCGCTATCATAGTTGGTAGGAATCGGTGTTCTTTTGCAAGGATTTGTGGTTTATCAAATCTGATGTAATGGTGGGGACGATCTTGAACATGTTCACAGACTGCAGACTTCCCGGAGAGTCGGTGCTTCACGTCAGCTATATGTTCTTTCACGCGGGTTTTTATGGATCTCAAACGAAAAGAAAGAGTCAAACAAAAAGATCCATAAAAACCCGTACCTAATTCACTGTTTTTATAATATTTAATTGACGCAAATTTTTGTACGTTTTAATTTTTAACTGAATTAAAGAGAAATTTTCGTTTACTATCATCGACATATTTTTATTTTTATCGTCCTGCTTTTTCATATCATATTAACAAACGAAGCTCTGACAACAAACAGAGATATCCCCGAATTTAAATTATCACAGACTGTAAATAGGGCGCAGAGTTTCCAGCGTTAGCGCACGCGTTTACCCGTGATCTGTGACGAGTATTGACAAATTTTCTTGAAACTATACCTATATTCAACAGTAGATTAGAAGATTGATTGGATCATTTAATGTTAAGGACCATGCCGTTTATTTTACTAATACTCTTCTTATTTATATGTAAGGAGATCCTTAAAATTAAAAATGCCTATCGGTCTACCAATAGAGCCAATAAATTTAGAGTTTTTTAAAGTAGAGTTCCTGCTGGCATTATTTATTACCCATTTAGGTACGAATTATAATAATGTTATTTTTAGCAACATTATTAACTTTTGATAATGTTCGCAAAAGCTATTTACAGTGTGTTTGCTTCGGAATGCAATATTATAAAATAATTTTATATTTTGTCAGTTTTCAAATACGTAAAATAACATACATACACAAACATATCATAAACTCTCACGCTTGTCAACCAGAGGGGTAGGCAGAGACTGCTGACTTCCATTTGGGACGATCCTGACACAGCTCTCTCGCATCCTTTACATTCATATCTACGCATACACGCTTGTCGATTAAGGTTACTATGTAATAATATTTGAAATATGAAAGCGAGACATAATTTTGTAGATTTTTATTAAAACTATAATCACGACATTCTCACATTTTGATTGAGTAGGTGAAAGTGAATGACAGCTTCGCCCTTCTTCTAGATGTATGGCCTATAGGCACTGCACATTAGCATATTTTTTTTTTTTTTTTATAGAAGAGGGGGCAAACGAGCATGTGGCTCACCTGATGTTAAGTGACTACCGCCGCCCATGATCAACTGCAACACCAGGGGAATTGCAGACGCGTTGCCGGCCCTTTAGAAAGGAGTAAGCTCTTTTCTTGAAGGTCCCCAGGTCGTATCGGTCCGGAAAAATCGCTGGTGGTAAATTATTCCACAGAGAGGTTGTACGCGGAAGAAAACTCCTTTTGAAACGTACAGTGGTGGACCGCCAAGCATCCAGATGGTGTGGATGGTATCGGGACGTTTGCCGCGTAGTGCGTTCACGAAATTTGGCGGCTGGGATTAATCCGAACAATTCCTCAGAGCACTCGCCATGGTATATGCGAAAGAAAATGCAAAGGGATGCAACATCTCTTCGCAGTGCCAGAGAATCGAGCCGATCGGAAAGCACTCGGTCGTCGACGATTCGAGCCGCTCTGCGCTGGATGTGGTCAAGTGGAAGGAGCTGGTACTGGGGAGCCCCAGCCCAGAGATGGGAACAGTATTCCATGTGCGGCCGAACCTGCGCCTTGTAAAGTTGCAGGCGGTGTGCCGGCATGAAATACTGTCCCGCTCTGCTGAGCACGCCAAGCTTTTTAGAGGCCAATTTGGCCTTTACTTCCAAGTGACCACGAAACTGCACGTCACTCGATATGTCGACGCCGAGGATTCCGATACTGGCTGAGGCAACAAGGGGAGTGCCTAGAAACTGAGGGGATACGACAAAGGGGTTCTTTTTAGCGGTTAACGCGCAAACTTGTGTCTTCTGGGGGTTAAACTGGACTAGATTTAGTCGCCCCCAATCCGAGACTCTGTCCAGCAGAGACTCGACTTCAGACACAAGTTTGTCCCGGCACTCGGAGACGTTTTCCCGAGAAATATTGGCTCGGCCGGTGTAAAGAGCATCACCAGTGCTGTCATCTGCATAGCAATGAATGTTACGGGTCTGCAACATATCATTGATATGCAGAAGAAACAGCGTTGGCGATAGCACGCAGCCCTGTGGAACACCAGCATTAATAGGCTTGCAATCGGAGCTTGCACCGTCTACAACGACCTTGATGCTCCGATCTGCAAGAAAACTGGTGATCCAATCGCACAATTTCTCGGGAAGCCCATAGGAAGGGAGCTTCGAAAGAATCGCTTTGTGCCAAACCCGATCGAAGGCCTTCGCAATGTCCAAACTAACGGCCAATGCCTCCCCCTTGGACTCTACTGCCTCCGCCCATCTGTGAGTTAGGTAGACCAGAAGATCACCAGCTGACCTACCACGGCGAAAACCGTATTGGCGGTCACTAATCAGCTGGTGATCCTCAAGGTACCTCATGAGCTGGCAGTTTACAATGGACTCCATTGTTTTGGAGAACAAGGAGGTGATGGCGATAGGCCGGTAGTTGGACGGGTCTGAGCGGTCGCCTTTTTTAGGGATCGGGTGGACGAAAACCGTCTTCCATGATTTTGGGACTACGCCTAGGGAGTAGGAGTACCGGAAAAAACGCGTTAAAACCGGTGCCAACTCTGGAGCACACGTCCTCAGCACAATTGGGGGGATTCCGTCAGGCCCACTCGACTTGTGGATGTCCAGGGAGAGGAGTGCTTTGCGAACCGAGCGCTGAGTGAACTGCACTTCCGGCATGGAGCACTCACACCGCGGGATTTCAATCATAATCACACACCAGTATCCACATCAGCCCATGCTGAGGACAGTTGCCCCACACTGACTGACTGCTGTCGACCGCATAGATAAGATGTAAACCAATCCAATTCAGTAAGGCCAAAATTCAGATGAGACAGTATGGAAAGAAGGTTTTCATGATCAACTGTGTTGAAAGCATTTGAGAAATCAACTAGTTAGTACCAGTACTGTTATTTTCTTTTCTTCGATGCCTTGTTTAATATTATCAATAACATTAATTAATGCAGTAGTGGTACTATGACCAGGACGAAACCCAGACTGATATATACTCAGTAGGTTATGTTTCGAAACAAAAGTAGAAATTTGCTTGTAAACACAGGATTCTAAAATTTTGGAAAGAAAGGGTAGAATGGATATTGGACGAAAATGATTGGGAAGAATGGGAGTAGGAACTTTAGGGAAAGGCTTTACAAAAGCCCTCTTCCAAAGATTAGGATACTGATCTGAACCACGTGAAAAATTGAAATTGCCGGGAGAAGGTGCTCTAGTATAAATACTACCATATGTCTACTAATCTCGTCGTAACCCACGGCTTTGGACTGGATTGCTAAAATCGACTTTTTGATATCATCCTGAGAAACAGGAGAAAAATTAAGGGTAGGAATGTTAGGAATTTGTATAGAAGCAATGGAAGCCATAGTTTGGGAACAAATTGTAGGGTCCAGTGCTTTTACAGAAGCGAAATGTTGGTTGATTTCATCAAGTGACAGAGAAGGACCACAATCCAAAGCTGGTCTACAAAGACCGAAAGATTTTAGGAAATTCCACACTACAACTGGAGAAGACTTATTAATACAGTTATGGAAATATCGGCGTTTAGCTGCACGCACCATATGATTACACATATTCCTGGCTGCTTTAAAAGATATCCAATTTTCTTCAGTTCGATCTCTCTTGAAACGAAGAAAAGACGATTTCGTCTAGCCATTGCCATCCCTACATCCTCTGTCATCCAAGGGGCTGGGGGACGCTTCAATCTAACCTTGTCAACAGCAGCACGAGCATCATAAAGACTAAAACGACTTATCGGCGTATCCTTGCGCTGTCTTAGGAACGCAGACTTGACGTA